TAACAAATTTGTTACGACTCCCTCCTTATAGAATTACAAATTGGTTTTAGACAATTTTTAACTAAGATATTATATATACATTGGCAATGATACATTAAATATAATACATTATCCAAACGATTACAAACTTCAATAGTAGTTATAGTATACAAACACAATCAATACACAAACTTATGATCATAAAATTACATAGCATGTGAAAGTGCATCAGTACAAATGTTATCAACCTCATTGACTAGGATTATCCCCAAATCATAATCTTGTAGTGATAAACTGCAATTTAACAGACGTATGTTGTGTTTTTTCTTTTTCTTTCTTTCTCTCTTTTTCTTACTTTCTTTCCATCTCTTTATTTCTTTCTCTCTTTTTCTTTTTCTCTCTTTTTCTTTCTTTCTTTCTCTCTTTCTTTATGTCTGTCTTTTTCTTTATTTCTTTCTGTCTGTCTTTTTCCTTCTTTCTTTCTCTATTTCTTTGATTTTTTTATTAGATATCCCATAATGGGTAACAGTACTAAGACCATCTTACGTTCCTCTAAAGCTGGGATAGGTTTCAAAGGAGAAACAGGAATTTTATGGTTAGATTTTCTGATTACCTGACAGGTATGACAAATTCTACAAAACTGAGAAACGTCTTGCCTAATTTTTGGCCAAAAGAAATGTCTCATGATTCTGTTATATGTCTTGTTGACACCTAAATTACCTTCCATGGGGAGTTCATGGGCAACTTTTGATATTTCATAACGATATGCTTTGGAACAACGATTTGATGAACAATAGCTCAGTCCTCTGAAGCTGGCACATCTGGTGGTCTCCATTTCCTCATAAGCACACCATTTTTGAAAAATAACCATTTGGAACTTTCTCCAGTTCATCCCTCGGGAGTGCACATTTAAATAGTGAAGAGATCTGCAGAACTTTCTCTTGCTCAGCTATCAGTTTACTTTTAGTAAATGGAACTTCACCAGGTGAATCAGATCCCTCGTGTCCATCATTGTCTCTCACCGAGGAATCATCAGTAGGACAATTATCCACAATATTCTCATCAGATCCAAAAAATGTCTAAGATAAACCTATAACATCATCCTCTGAATCCATGTCTATCATTTGTTTTGTTTTAATTTCTTAGCCTGAGATCGAGTCACAGCACACGAGAGAAACACATCGGGATTCTCCTCAACGATAACATTATCCTTAGATGAAATAGTGATCGGCTCACTAACCATTTTAGGTTCGGCAACAATGTTTCCCCCAGCCAAATCGTTTCCCAACAATAATCATACACCCTTAATTGGCAGAGTAGGTCTTACTCCATCCACAACCGGTCTCGAAACTAGGTCTTATGCTAAATAAATGTTATGCAGAGG